ACTCTGATGTGCGTGAGCGTGTGCTTCGCTCTGAATGTCGCCAGCAAGAGGAGGTGTACTTCCAGCTGGCAGGTTACGCCTTGCAGGCTGACCTCGGTGACCACCCGCCGGCCAGGGAGTATACGGAGATCACCCCTTACTTTGAACCCAAGGATTACTTTCCCCCTTGGGTAGGTGTTACCATGTGGCAGCAGCATTTAAAAACACTTTGAATCTAATGATTAGATGTTAGTTTAAAATTTGAATACAATTGTCTCCACTTGATTTTAATATTTTATATTTTGAGGTTATGTTGTGATCTCTGCCTTATACATGTCTGTCCCTTCTTCTTTGTGTAGATTGTAGCTAAGCGTGGAGTGGACTACCTCCTCTGCCATGGGCCCAAAGTGCATCAGGAGCTGTGGGGCTTGTCTACGCGTGATGCCATCCTGCTCTTCATCAGGGAGTCATGTCGACTGGAGGATGTACCTGTCTTATTTTACAGACTGCAAAAGGTCAATTTAGTATTCCAGTGTCATCAAATGAAACCAGCTGCTTGATTTGAGTATTTGTAGCACACATCAAACTGCAGGGTGTGTTTTATGTATAATTAAAATGAAAAATTATTTTTTATTGTAACCTATGGCTATTTTCAAGCATACTTCTTCCCTCTGACTGAAATTCTAACACAAATGCAGTTAGTTTGGCTTGATGTGAGCTGTGCTGGACAAATAACTATGGGGCAGTTATGTAACCCTCCATCTATGCCAGTTTATTGTCCTCCCTATTTCAAACTCATTCATCTACCGGGTGATTTTTTTGAAATTTTGCCCATCTATTGCGTAATGGGTTATCACTTTAAATTTGTTGTTAGCAGCAGTTCAGTGTGTTTCGCAATGAACTAGGAGAGAGGCTTAGCTGGGAAATAGCTATCTTATCTGAGCCGCTCAGATGCCTCTCTGACATCTCATCATTCATTTGTCCAGGACAAAAAGGAGGAGAGAGGAACAGCATTGCTCGGTCTGACCCTGCGAGGAATGCAGGTTTATCAGGTGCGTGCATGTGTGAGTGTGTTGTTAATGCATAGTAAGTACGTCACAAGAGTGAATCTGCGTTTGCTCAAAGATTCAGTCTTTGTATCTATAGTCTTATAAAACCTCTGACTAGACGTGTGAGGAATGTGTGGGATTGCCACCAACAGCAGTGCATGAGGAGATAGGCCATGCCAGTCAGTTGTTTGATCTGTCCATCAGGGGCCATCTGGGGGGGATTAGGGCTCCAGGCCTGGCTGATTAAAGAGCCAACAGACCGTGAGATACCTTGAGAATCCCTTAGCCTCTTCGCCAAGACCAGATGGATCCTGTGAACAAAAAAACATTTGATTATTGATCACTAATTTAAAATAATATCTAGAAATCTGTTATGCTTTTGCAATCACAAAAGCTCACAAGCATTTTAGGTATTTCTTTTTAATTATGTGTGTGTGTTTTGTAATCATAGGAGGTGAACAACATGCGACAGCTGCTGTATGACTTCCCCTGGTCAAATGTGGGACGTCTCACCTTCCTGGTATACACACTGCGCTCTTCTTCATTCACTGTTAAGATTAGGTGGAGTCATTGTAATTATCTAATGCACATTAGCTTTGTAAACTATGTATGACATGTTGTCCCATTCAGGGTAAGAAATTCGAGATCCAGCCAGATGGCTTGCCGTCAGCTAGGAAGCTGGTTTACTACACCGGGTCATCGTTCCGCTCTCGCCACCTCCTCCTGCACCTGAGCAGCAGCCATCGCCTCTACCTCAGCCTCCAGCCTGCCCTCAAACACCTACGCCAGCTGGAGGAGAGTGAAGGTAGGGTAGAGTACAATATTAGTATCACTGATAATTACAGTCTGGCTGCAGCCCACTTGTAACCAACAGAACACACCAGTAACAACTGCAAGTTAAACGGAAAGTCACTTCTTTTTTTGTCACACAAAGAATCAAACAGGTTCCTGTTCAGTAATCACATTTGAAGCACTGTAGTTTAAAAATATGATATTTTGTATTTCTGAACTACATTTGGAAAAAAAAAAACTCAACTCAATATTGATCTTGAGTTCTCTATTCTTCTCCTTTAGAGAAAAAGCGTTACAGAGAGTCATACATCAGTGATGACCTGGACTTGGACCCCCCAGGCAGTGAGAGCAGCCCTGGTCTGTCTCGACATTCAACCAGCAGCTCCGGGATCGAAGCCGATGCCCGCCAGCACAGCATCTCCACAGAGATGGCCTCCATGGACGAGGAAGGTCAGCGGCAAGGAGAGAAGTGTTTCAGTTCGGCAGCCAGCCGTGGCAGCTCCTGTACCTCTGGGTTTGACGCAGGCAGTAAGGCTCGAATAGAAGATGAGGGCTGGCAAGAAGAAGGTGAGAGCATTTTTATATTGAAAGATTTGTACAGGAAATTTTATCCATCTCTGCATATTTTTTGGAGTAAACTGATGCTTCATAGGTTGAATGAAATAGACATAAAAGCAGCTGTGTGTCATTCTGATCTTGTGTTCACCTTTGCGTTTTTCTTTTTGGGAGTTATGGTTTACTGGTGCTATGTTGAGAGGTTAACGATGTTACTGTTCTCATCACCTGCCTTCACCCTTACGCTTAACTAAGGTATACTTGGCAGTATGTTTCAAAGATACATGTTGATAAATGAACCACAAGACTGTGGAATGTTGATTATTAATATATGTATGTAAATATATGTAATATATAGTATTAACCTCAAATAAAGCATGTTAGTATTATTTGTGCATCCCTGAGACATCAGTTTGATCTGTGCAGGTGTGTTTAGCAGTTCCATACATTTGGAAAATGTGCTGTTTCACAAAGTGCTTCATCAGATTAAACACTATGCCAAACATGTAGCTCAAAGACAATGTAATGTCATTATTCCACATTTTATGCCTCATCTGCTCTTAAATGCATTTGTGGCCTTGGTAGATGACGGTTATTTTTTTTTTACATTTTATGTTTTTAATAATAATTTCTAAAACTCTTCTCTTTAGAGCTTAAAATCAATGTTGGAAGTCCAAAGGATGTTCTTGTGGATGATCCTGATGAGATGTTTCAGTTGGCTGATCTTCTTGAAGGGGTGTCAGTGGATTGTGCAGAACTCTCCTTAGACACTCATTCAACAGGTATAAATCATCGGATTTTTGACATACAGGGTATTTTGTCAACACTATTTTATTTGTTCTCACCACATCAGTGAAAACCATTTTTTGTATTCTCAAATTCTCTGTCAAAATTTACCAATAAAATCTTGTGTACAGAAAACAACACATCTCCTCCAGACAGTGATGAATATTTCGTGAACAAAGATTTGTTAAAACAGGTTTGTCATACCTCTTCTGTTTCTTGCCTTCTTTTTCTTAACTTACTGTGGATTACTCTGTATTTTCTTTTCTTATCCTTTGTCTTCTCTTACCTTTTTTCTCCACCTCCTATCTCTATTCAAGATGCTGAACTCGAGGGCACATGTGTGTGTGGATCGGCACAGCCACAGTCTAGACGATGTCCGTCTCTTCCCGCCTACAGCACCCCTTGGGATGACACTGCCACCTGATTCCTCCCACAGCTATACCTTTGGGCTCCCAGATATCTCAACAAACCCAAAGACCCCTGTTGATCACAGTTATTACCCCCTTTTGCACTGCCAAGCCAAACCTTCATTCTATGGCCGCAGGTCTACCAACAGCCTCTCCTTGGACATGTTAGGTGATGAACAGTTCCTGGAATTCATACTTTAAATATGTCAAGTGCTAATGTTCACAAATGCACCGGTTCTCCTTCATTTATGGCGCAACCTCACTCATAGGTTGCCAACACATGAATGTCTGTGTTTTCTATGTGATGATGATGACAACGAGGGATGTGTGTGCTTCAAATTGCAGAGAGACGTTACTAAAAATGACGGGACCCCCCTCATTTCTCTTAGAAAAGCTGTGGATTAGATGACAGATCTAATTCAGCAACATTTCAATCTTAAACAGAGCATATTTATTAATGTATTATGTGTACACAATACTTGCACTATTTTATTGCATTTCATCGCCTTTGAGCAAAAATGTTTCTAATTGATTTTATTGTCTTTTGTCAAGCTGATGCTGTTAAAGACTTCTCTGAAATGTCTGTTTAGGTTTATGTTGAGAGCATAACATTGGACTGTAACAGATGTTTTGAAATTTTAAGGCAATGCAGTCATGTGCTGTGTTGACATTCATAAGATGGGACTTATGTTCCTTGCCATAACCCTATTTTTTTATGTAAACACTTATATTTCTGTTTTATCTCCAGAAGCCATGGTGCTAATCTTTGTGCTCCTTTACTTTTTTTAAAATCATATTTTATAATGTACTCTATTTTTGTATAGTGTGCTCTGTCACAGCAATGTAGCTGCTGGTGTGGAAAAGTCAACCTCCTTACAGTTGGTAATGCATTCATCCAAAGCTTCGCCATTCTATACTCTACTCCTGCTTTTGTAATTACAACATAAAAGTATTATTTGTAAAGCACTATTTCTGTAACCAGTAAGTGTGTAATGAATCTGCAGTATTTTTTGTATTATGTAACCCCAAACAAAGAGCCTTTCTGTCAGTTTTTTCTGGCATTATTTTCACTGTTTTGTAAATGAAAATTAGTATGCAAAAGAACTGATGTCTTTAGCCAATGTGAGCTCACTGGAAAAGAATGTCAGTCCTTAAATACAGAGGAACTTTCACTCAATGCCAATAGTGTATGAATAACTGAGTTTAAAATCACAATACTGAACAATTCATTTTTATCTAAAGCGCTGTTTTTTTTTTTATCATAGTGAAAATAAATTCTTAATTCCACTAAATAGCTGTTTGGTAATAATTTGGTACCAGTTGACATCTACGCTATGTTGTATTATTCCTTAACAGTCATTTCCACCTCTCGCGAGAGTTTGAAATGACGTTTGCGGAAGTTTACATTCCGTTTGGTAAAACGTGTCGCTCATGGCAGTCGTGAGAGAAGCCGGTTGTGGGGTATCTTCAGCTCGCTTGTTCTGGGCCGTGTAGCACCTCTACAATGTATTCTGTTTTAATGACGGCGGTCTTGTCCAGCTCTCCTGACTATGACCGTCTGTTTGAGGCTCTGTCCTGGCCGAGTGAGTCGTGGCCGGGGACAGAGCGGGTGGAAGCGCTGACAGCTCTCATTGAAGGGCTCGGACCACTTTTGGCAGACTCGGACACGACTGCGTTTACAGCTGCGAAAAGACGACGTATTCAAGAAAAAATTGAGTCGGTTATTTGGACGCAGTGTCTGCCTCTCTTGTCCAGAATATCGGCTGAAGCCGGTGACGACGTGCGGTGCAGGGAGAGTACAGCCGCTGCCTGCCGGCTTCTGAGCGTCTGTGTCCCATTGTGTGAAGAAGCTGTGCCGGGGCGGGTGGCTCTGTCCATCCTGCCGTCGCTCCAGCTGTCGGAGGAGGAGCTGTCTGGTCCGGGACGCCTCAGTGGGGAGGTTGCAAGTGAAGTCTTGGCTGCTCTCATACCTTCTCTGTCAGCGGATGAACAGCTCACACTCACCACCTTGTCATCTGCCTTGTCCTGCATCAAAACACTCTCTGATGCATTGGTCTCCAAAATCACAGTCAGGCTTCTCTTGACTCTGTTGAACTGCTGCAGCGGTGTGAAGTTAAAAAACATCCTCAAGTTGATCCACGATGATCTGTGCAGCTGGCACTGCACTGAGCGCACACCAGTGGTTACAGAGCGGGTACTGCTATGTTTGACCGCCATGTCAGACCACCTGCTGAAACCTGCTGACATCTTTCCCTCTTGCACCTCCTCCTCCTGTGAGCCCGACCCTCGTCTGTCCCTCCAGTTCTGGAGGATGGTCCAGGATGGACTGACACACCGAGACAGCGTGTCACGTAAAAGGGCGCTGTACCTGCTGAAAAGGTGTGTGGCCCTGTCAGAGGAGGAGCGGGTGGACTGCCCTCTCTCTCCATCAGATGAAGGTAAATTGCTCAGACTCTGTACCAACTTTAAGTTCACTGATGCTGTATAGTTTGTTGTCTTTACTGTCCTTGAAATTGTTGCAGGTGAGACCTTGTTCAAATGGGCCCCCAACAGGAGCAAGTTGCTTAGAGAGTTCTGGGAGGATTATGCGCTGGTAATGGAGACCCTGGAGGAAAACCAGGTAGAAGATTGGTTGGATCACCACAACCAATTCAGCAGAGAGCATCATGGTGTAGCTTTGTGATATTGCTTTTGTCTTCTTTTTCTGCAGATTCATGTTGTCCGGCCAGTTCTAAACAGAATAGACACGCTGATCCAAACTACAGTAAATGATAGTCAAGGTAACATTAGAAGTGGGCAAAGTATGGAGTTACTTTTGTATGTTTTCTATGAATGTTTGGATGTGTGGAAGTCTTCTCTACCTCTTTTGAGAAAAATATTTTTTTTATTTCAGACATTTCTGGCTTTGTTTTGGTGTAGGTTGGATAATAATCATATATATATATATATATGTAAATTAACTTTTCATCAGCTAATGACCCTTTCATCTACACACTTGCCTCTCTTCATTTATAAGGAGAGTTGTCCATTAAATAAAAAAATGATTTAAACCAAATAAGTAACTGGCAAAAAGTACACAAGTTAAATTAAGTAATCCAAACAGTCATTCTCTCTCTGTCTGTATTGTAGCTTCAGGTGAAGGCCTCCTCCACCCCTCCTGGCTACTGTGTGTGTACCAGAGGATGTTCCACAGTGAGAATAAATCCTTAATGAGAGAGGGAGTGTGTCATCTGCTCGAGCTACAGGTCCTTCAGCAGCCAGCTTTTGCTTTGGCCTTTTCTCAGGTAAAGGCACAGACACAGTTTATCCAGTGTGATTTTAGGCTTGTTCATTTGGTTTCCCTGAAATCATTCAAAGTTAAAGTAGTTGTTGCATTAAAGTTTTCTCTTCTTTTGCTTTGCTCCTCAGTTTATCGTTGGCCCTTTCATGGATGTTCTGTCTGAAACTTCACTCTTCCACAGGTGAGATTTAAAATAACACAGGAATAAATAAAAAAACTACAGGGAATACTTTGTTGTGGTATGTGTTTTTTTTTTTTTGCACTAGCCCTCATTAATCCACCTTCTGTCCACATGTAGATCAGTTGGGCAGAGTGTAGGAGATTGTCCTGAGCTGGGGGCTAAACTCCAAGTCTTCATGACCACCTTCTTCAGTAGCCTACCGTCAGAGCATAGAGGTATAGGAAATACAAGTTAACGAAGCTCTCACGGCTTACAAGCCTGTCTGTCTCTGACTATATTGTTTGCTTTGCAGCTCATGTGTTGCTGCAGCTGATTCAGCAGCTGGGCTCTAAGCACTGGTGTGCAGTACCCCTCCTCTTCCTCTCCCAGGCACTATCCAAACTCCCCCCAGGTCCACTGCTGGGGATCAGCGGGCTCACTGCTCTAAGGTACCTCTTCATGCTTACAGTGAGACAGACGGCGTCATAGCAGGTAATGCTTGATACGGGAGCTCATTTTGTCTGTGGTGTGTTTTACAGGGAGGTGCTGCGCTGCACCATGATCACACATCAAGTTTTGTTACGAGGAGCTGCCCAGTGCTTCCTGCTGAATAGTGCCCTCTGTCTCGCAGAAGTGGTAAGACACAAATAGTGTACTTACAGCTAAAATAACTGGAACACTTCACAATTTAATATGACAACTGTATTTTTTTTTCTCCACATTTTTTTCATTGAATTATGAACAAATGGAAAGAGTGCACACTAGAGTGAACATTGGGTGTGTCAGTGAAGCACTTAATTACCAAAATACAAACTGATTTCGCTAACATAATGTACATAGATTTGTACCGTGTACAACAGTACAACACATATGTTAACTTTACAGAGCGCGTCCTTATTAAAGTAGCACAACATGCAACTTTGTGCCCGTCATCCCTCACCAGCCCCGGCCTCCTGTATAACCCACAATTCCTCATATGAAAAGCTACTTCACCCCTGGAGTACTACAGAGAGGTGCTGGAAGTTGAGTTTTGCATTTAGAAAAGAAAGACAGATGAAATAGTTTAGAAATGGATAAAAAAGAGAGGAAATAAATCTTTAGTTTGACTCAAGATTCTGGAAGTATTCTATGAAAGGTCCACACACCTTTAGGAACTTTTTTGCTTGAGTTATAAACTAAATATGATCTTTTCAAGGCTCAGACAGGACATAATGTCCCCGAGCCATTGAGCGTGGGTGGGCGGGGCAGCATCCCTCCAGTATTTTCCCAGGCTAGGACATGTCCAGAACTTGTGGATAATGGAGGCTTCACCTCTTTTACATTTGTCGCAACAAGGATTCACATCTGGTTAAAAGAGGATCAGTGGCGGTTACACATTAGCCTCCACCCGAAACAACTGAATAACAGTGGTATAAACACTCAGTTACACCACAAACTACTGCATCAAAGATAGATAACAATTTAAATTAATACCTCTGACAGTCTCAACAAAAAACAAACGCTGAACTTACTCAAGGGGCTGTAGTACTGCATTGTACAATATTTCTATTATTTTGTCCAACCCCTCTACTTAACTTGTAATAGTGAATTGTCTTTTCTCAGAGTGCAGTGAACCTTGATGAGCTCTTTAGTTTCCTGATGCATTTCCGTGCAGACGAGTCACTGTGCAGAGGGACGCAGATCTGGAATCAGGTACAGTGCATCGAACATATATGAAGGAACACACAACCTAACACGTGTTAAAAAGGCACATTAGAGAAGTTCTATGGTTGACTCATTGCTGCTCTACATGTCTGTGACACCGCTGCAGTTGTGTGCCTGGCTATCAGACAATGAAGGCGGTTTCAAGCCCAGGATTACGGATGGTGATTCCACTGGTGCTGCCACAAAGAAAGAAACTGTAAGAGGTTATGTTCAAGCTGAGATACATGCCTATCTCCAAGTTCCAGCCAGCACAGGTAGGTCTGAAGTGAGGCAGTTATAGATAAAGTGAATAATGATTATTCTGGAATTTTTTTTACAGCCAGTGTAAGTCAGTTTTCTTGCTCCCCAGGTCAAACTGAGAGGTTACCTGACTCTAAAGAGGCTGATAAGTTGGCCAGAGCTATTCTGCTGTGTGTGGACATGGAGAAGAGTCAACTTGGCACAGAGATCTGTAACACTCTGGAGTCATTACTGTCTCCTCTGCTGGACACCCTGAGCAGAGTCAGCACCAATATTTACTTGCCTGTGCGTAAGAGCGACAAGAGCCTGCAGCTTATGCTCCGACTGCTCCAGCTCGGAGGAACACCAAGTCGTCAGCATGTCGCAGAGGAGCAAGGTTTGTAATGGTAACATTGACTCATTGTCATAGCTGTCAAGGCCACCCTCAGAAATACGCAGCAGGTAAAGTAGATGGATAGGTGCATTCATGCGTTGAACTAATCAGTATACCGCTCCTCCCAACTAGTTTGCCGCTTGGTGTGCTATTGATAAAAACATCATACTTGTAAATATCACACTCATATCAATTCATTTAGTGGTTATGAGGCTATTTGCAGTGTGGTAAGTGACCTCTTTTTCTCTCCCTGAACATTTTTCAATACAAGCAATATTTTATTTTTTTTTGTGTTGGATTCAAAGTCACCTAGATTTTTGGTGATACTTGAAACCACTGGACAGATATGAGATTTTTTTAAGGACTTTCATGCCAATATTTTGACTGTTGTAAGTGTTTTAAAGTTAAACAGACAAAATATCCCAGTTTTGCACATGTGATATCATTGCCTCAACTTGTGTGAAAGCGTGTGCAGCATTATGTTCTCCAGTGGCGGCATCAGTAAGTCACCTTCTCTGGGGATACCGTGATCACAGGTTTGAAACCCCAGACAACAAAACTTCAGCAAAAACTCAATAGCAATTCATGCATATGATATTGAAATGCTCTCGAGCTGCTTAGACCTCAATAATTGGTGCTTGTGGTTATATTTATCTTCATTATTAGAAGAGGTATTTGTAGAAGTTTGTCATGAGAACACCTCTCAGCTCTCTTTCTCAGGGAAGGCCAGGCACTTACATGCACATTGAAGAACTGTACTGCAATTATAAAGTTAACAACACTCTTCACACACTCCTGACCCACTCTGCAGGAGTGTTTGACATTGAAGTCTTCTCGCTCTGCTTTTCTCAGGCGACAGTGTGATGGTTGCCATGGAGAAGCACATTTTTAAAGTCGTAGATCCAATCCAGGAGTTTATCTTGAGGCGGCTGTGTGGGGAGCTGCAGGAGGTAAAGTCGAGCAAGCCACCATCACTCCAATTAGCAGAGAGGCCCCTAGTGGCTAGCTCTGATTTTTTATTTTTATTTTTTTACAGCTATTTGACGTGGAGCGAGCAGAGCTGTATCTGGGTGTTCTGAAGCAGCTGGTGGTCATGTACAGTTCTACACCACAGCGCCTTAGTAAAATTCAACAGAATGATTTCCCTAAACTCATCAAGCACAGCGTCAGGGTCCTGCAAGAACCAAGCCAGCAGGTACAAAGCTACAATATTCAACCCCGAGTCATCAGGCAGAAATTTCATAAATCAGTTTGGCTCCTTGATTATTCAACGCTGATTGTTTTTCCATTTCTAGGTCCCCTCTGTGGCAAACCAGGTGTCCAGAGCGGTTGCCATGGCATCCCTGGCCACAGTTTGTAGTCTTCTGGAGCAGGAAGTGATTGACATGCGATCAGAGACACTTTCTGCTCTGAAAGAACTGAATGACTACCTCTACAGTTCATTGTCATCTTCCTCACAAAGTCAATTACTTCTAGGAAACTTCAATAAACGCCTGCTGAAACCACAGACAGGAGACTGTTCAAGGTTAGTGGAGGCCTTTTATTACAGTTTTGACAGAGAGATAAGTCATAAGATGTGTCCATTTAGGAGACCTTTGACTGGAAAATAATATTCACAATAAAAATATCTCTTATCTTCCAGGGTGGGTTATTTAGGGATAAGCATTTTTCTTCTTTTGGTAGTGATCTAGCAGTGCAGGGTCCTCTGCTGCAGGACTGGGGACGTATCGCTGCCAACTTCATGCGGGACCAGTGGATTAGTCTGAGCTTCCTGATTAAAGCTGTTGGGATTCCTGAGATTTGCAGAGCACCAGACACTCTCAAGGCTGCTCTGAGCTGCAGCGTGGAGGCCCTGGCACTGCTGCCCAGTGACCTGGTGCTGCCTGTGCTCACCTTTATGGAGACAGCGCTGCCACAAGTGAGTCAGTCATTTTAGGTAAAATTAAAGCAATTGAAATGAGGTGTTTAGACGTAACAAGGAGTTTCTTATAATAAGAAGACTCTTTTTACAAAAACTAAGTTAATATCTGATAAACTGTGCTCCTGATTAAGCGTCTGGTTTGGTGATGATTTGATCCCAGTTACTACTTGATGAGGAGGCGCTCTGTGTGGAGGCTGTGACTCTGAGCTGGGATCTGGTGCAGGGACTGAGCACTAATGCACATGACTTCTGGCCGGCCCTGAAAGGATTCATCTCCGTGGCCTTCCACCGTAAACTGCTCGAGCTGACACACACTCGGGCTCTGACGCTTATGGCCACCTTGAAGCAGGTGATGAAAATCAGGCTGGTTGACCTAGACGTGGAAAGGAATGAGTGTGGTGATTTCAACATATACCTTCTGTAATATGCATACAAACATTGCGTGGTGTTGTGTGATTAATTTAGATTGCCTCGGAGCTGATTGAGCTGTCTCAGTCAAAAAGTGGAGTGTTCGGAGTTCTGCTTCAGCACTGCTGTCAGACATGGCTGCCCACAGGCCGAGGCTGCGGCGACCAGGCTGACACCGTGTTTTCTAGTGTTTTCAGCTACATCAACATACTCACTGAGGCTTGTGTCTATGGACCGGTGTTCAGAAGGGATCAACGGTAACTCTACATAACAGCATTTCCTTGATTCGTCGCTTATCAGGGCTGTTCTAACTGTTTTATCTTCCTCTTTCAAAGGCTCACCCAGGATGTCCAAACGTACTTGGAGCAGCTCGGTGAGGAGTGTGCTGGTAATGTCGTTGTTACAAGGTGAGCTGCTGTCCTCTTTGTTTCCATTTGTGAGAACACTCTCATTTATAGCTGTGATTTAAAAGGCGACCACTAGAGGTCTCTCCTGCTGTGCGGAGGTTTTCACAATTGAACTACTGCTTTTCTTTTCCAGCGATAACAGGGACGAGCAGTTGCCCCGCACATGTGTCCTGGCTTTCCTCAGCCGCTTGGATCCCTCTTATCTACAACATGAAAGAGTGATAGAAGAACTAGTTATAGCTTTGTTGAAAAAGGTAGGTTATAGATTAGTCTGGGCGGTTCATACAGTTGCATTTTTTTTTTTTTGTTTAGTATCAGTTGCAGCTAATTAAACAACACATAAAACCATTTTCCATCTCCCACTCCATCCCTCCAGGATAATGACATATCAAAGTCAAAAGTGCGTTACTATAGCAACTCCCTGCAACATCGTGTCAAAAACAGAGTATGGCAAACACTGCTGCTGCTGCTGCCCAAACTCAGAGAGGTAAGGCAATTACACTCACACTAAGAATCACACAGGAAATAACCATTCAGAAAGTAACTGTGTGTGTGTGTGTGTGTGTGTGTGTGTGTGTGTGTGTGTGTGTGTGTGTGTGTGTGTGTGTGTGTGTGTGTGTGTGTGCGTGTGCGCGCGCGACTGCATGCAGGAGTTTGTCGGCACTTTACTGAACCGCGTGTTTGAAGCTGGATTCTGCAGTAACCAGGCCTCAGTCAAATACCTGATCGAATGGATGATGATTCTGATCCTCATTCACTATCCACAACACTTGGACAGCTTTTGGACCTGCTTCAGCATGGTGTGTTCCCACTCTGGACACGCACTCACAAGAAAATACTGTATAATGAGTGAAACAGTGAAATTACCGACCAATTTATGTGTTTTCTGTGAAGGATCACGAAAAGACCAAGACGAGTGTCTGCACCTTCCTGTCAGTCCTGGTGCATTTGAATGTCATCATGCCTAATCTTAAGGATAAGGTAAAACCTTTGCAGCTGCCACTAAAACCAGTCACCATTATTCTCACATCAGCACTCAGTATGAACGAGACCTTTCTCCCTCTGTGTTTAAGGCAGCGCAGTTGCGTAAAGCGTTGGACATCATCCTGCAGTGGTGTTTCAACCATAACTTCAGCGTGCGCCTCTATGCCTTACTGGCCTTGAAAAGGGTGTGGGGCTTGGCAGAAGAGGAAGGGGCCGATGGTTTGGGAGGGCTGTCGACTGTGATCAAGGCCTGTTTGAACCAGGCTGAGGCCATGCAGAGCACTGGGTGAGCACATGCTACATCTAATAGTTAAATAGTAAATAGTAATAGTAAAAAAAAGCGTATATTAGCATGCTAATGTATTTATCTTCTGTCTCACCCTCTAGAAATGCCAACAAAAACTGGATAAGGATTCAGGAGCACTTCTTCTTTGGTGCCTTTCATCCTATCAGAGATTACAGTGTTGAGGTGTGCTGGTATATTTTAGTGTATTTAAGTCTGGAAACTGAATAGAGCTTCTGATTTTTTTTAAGATAACACAATGCACAGTAACATTTTTGTTTTCTTTTTTATTTATTTTGCTCTTCTAGACCATATTCTATACCTTTCCCAGTCTGTCAGAGTTGGCTGATGATGAGTGGATTCCACCATGGAAATTTGAGAAATTGTCGTGCTTCTCTGAAAGTCCCTCTTTTCCTTTAAAAAATCCCGCTCCTGACCTGAGCCAGCTCCAGCCTGGAGACTGGATCCAGCAAGACAAAGGTACGGTAGCACCAATCACAAGCAGTAGAAGTACTTGATACAGTACATAATACAATAGTACCTCATCTGTGATTGAGCTATCATGGTGTTGTATGACACAGGTGAGCAGGATAAGGAGGAGCGCTGGGCCGAGGTGCAGAAGAAGATCACTCCCTGGAGGTTGGGGATCCAGGAGCAGGAGCCTGAACTTCAGCTGGTTCCACCACAAAGGGCCGCTCGACTGGGAAAACTGCACGGCGCCCTGATGGTGGTAGCATCACTTATAGACAAACCAACCAATTTAGGAGGTGAGGAGCAGCATACAAAATGATCTTACTACACATTTCTGTCGTACATTTTGTGAGGACATAGTGCTAAAACGTGAAGAACTAACATTACAGGCTTTTTGTTTGGTTTCATAATGATAGTCTGGCCAGAGAGGTCTAATGCAGCTGCCACTAAAACCAAATCACTTGAGCCCTGTTATCAGAGTTTAGACAGAGAATGTCCAGCTTTCATCACAGACACTATTTTATGTTCCCTGCATGCGTCCTCCAGTGCTGTTGTATCGGATGATAAGGGGCTGAATCGATTCGAATTTGTTTATAGAGGAAAAGACCCATTTTCAAAACCAATATTGATACTGGATGATGTAAGCAAGAACATTAGCTAGGTCGTTCTGTAAATGTTTTACTTTACTTCACCCACTCAATGGTCATTGATGGTGTAGCTTTTTATATCTGTCTGTGCCCATGATGATAGACTAGTAGCCATTTTATGCCCAGTCATCTTAAGGCCTGAGAAGCCAGAATAAATACTTTATGAAAACCTTGCTGTGGAGCATTAATTCACACATCACATTTAGATAGATGGCACTTGTAGGCTCTCTCCTCATTTGTTTGTTGTTGTTCTAGGTTTGTGCAGGACTTGTGAGATATTTGGTGCCAGTGCTCTGGTTCTGGACAGCCTGCGCCACGTCGGTGACAAACACTTCCAGTCCCTGAGCGTCTCATCTGAGCTATGGCTTCCTCTGTTAGAGGTAAATTACATAAAATGATGTCACGCTCCACCCCACTGATCATGATGTCTAGTCTGTCTCTATAACGGCTTTTCCCAGTGGGCTACTGACCTGAGAAATGTGTGATTTGACCTCATTAACTCAGGGTTGAAATGATCTCAGTCAAGATCAACATCAAGAGCAAGAAGCAATCAGAACAGGTGGATGCCAGGGCAGCAGTAAGCGGTAGTTTTCCTAATGGCTTTCTGTTCAGCTGTGACCAAAAATGTGATCAAGAGATCTGTAAATATCTTTCTCGCAATTAAAAGGAAATTATTTTTGTGTTACGTGTTATGGTTATAATAACTAAATGCACTTACTCTCCAGTGTACCTTAGTGGCGGTTTAGAAAACTTCTAGTTCATCAACATATTAAGGCTTAAAGAGGCATACGTTTGGGAGTAGCCTCCCCAGTCTTCAGTCTCATTTAGAAGATGAGTTTTTGCGAAATACTCATTGCACTTAAGCTCCTTCTTTTATCCTCAGTTTTGAGATTTCTGGTTCCAGTAATGTATCTGCTGAACTGGGCTGTAAACCAAGACCTAAGTTTCAAAAATGAATCTAAATCTTCAATTTAAACTCTGGGGAAACAATGAAAGGTCTGTCTAACCTGCTGATACCCTGATGTCTGTTCATCTACCACATGGAGCAGAAAAAGTGCTTTTGATAATGTTACAGTGTGAAAGCCTGTGTCCCTCCATGTAGGAAGTATTACAGCCCGCCTCACTAAGGTTCCTTGGTCACATGTGTGAAAAGGACTTTGGAGACATGATGGACTTACTCTCCACCCACCAATGTTTGAAGTATTGTTTGAAAAGTTTGTTTACATCATCTCTGAAATCATAACCTGTATCTATCCATCAGGTGAAGCCAGTGGAGCTTGCTGACTTCCTGCAGGTGAAGAAGAGTGAAGGGTACTGTATTGTTGGAGTGGAGCAGACAGCCAACAGTCAGAGTCTCCAGGACTATCAGTTCCCTGAGAAGACCCTGTTACTTCTGGGGTATGACAGCATTAAACACCGTCTCAGTGTTAGTGACACCACAAAAAGGCTCCAAGTTCTGTTTGTCCACCAATGCAGTCTCCTACACACAACCCGTAGTGCATGATGCAGACAAGCCTCTGTTTTCCCATGCCCTTGTGACTCTCACATAGATAAAGGTGTGAGCTGACGGGGCTATTCAATGTTATCTCACTGGTTTAGTGTGTTGTCCCCTGTGGGACCTGCGCCTCTCCTCTCTGTTGTGTACCTGTCGGGGCATGCTCGGCTGTAATTGGCTCTCCCCGAGGACAAGAGCACAGGAAATAAATTACACAACCCAATACAAGCAGCGCGATGACAGCAGCAGAAAAAAAAACCCTTAACCTTCATCTAGTGCGGTTCATGACCCTGTGGCTTCCATCAGTGGTTAACATGACACAAATACAAAACATTTTCTTCAACCATTTGTAGCTCCTCAGAAATGAACATAACTGTAGTTCTGCAATTTCCAACGATGCAATTTAAAAAAATAAATAAATGTGTCCTGTAGATGTGCAGCTGGCCTGGCAGAGGGGGAGAGAATAATATTAATCACCTCTGTGTAGGTGTCCTGTTTTGTTTTACCCTGCTCAGTTACAAAGGTGTGAGCAGTGCTGTTACCTCGAACACCCCATGTGTGAGCTGAATCTTGAGGGCTTTTACAGCTGTGCGCACGCAGCATGGCCCCGCTCTAATCTCTCATCAGGTGGCTATTATCTCACCCAGTTGCACTCAAGATAAATGTAGCTCATCAAATCAGGCTTTCTTACTGTGTGGCACCCTCTGTGGAGTCGCTGAATGCCAAACTCATTACCTCTTTATGTTTGCTTTGCATGGCCCAAATTGCCGGAGCTCAGTATATGCTCAGCTGATTACAGTTTGAATTGCTCTTGGACGTGCGCTCATGAATCGTCTATATAAAAAAAAGAAAAAAGCTTATTCCTCATAATTGACTTGAGAAGATAAAGGACTAACTTGGCAGCACATGGCGAGGACTCTTAAATTAAATCAACAGTATAGCATCATTAAGCCAAATGAAAGCTGAAATTAAAAACATCCTGTAACAAAACGTGTTTGTACTGTATCATACATGTGTGCAGTCTGCAGATAGTCCAGTGTCATACCCTATATGACATTAGGCAGTCAGTGTTGCCTTATTGCCGACATGCTGCAGTGCAAATCCTGCAGCGGATTGTTTTTTTTGTTTTTTTTGGAGGCTTTTTCGTCCTGACAAGAATAAACGCTAAAGGATAAATGAATCTTTTCCAGAGAAGGCACACTGGTTGAATTTAAAGGAATAGTTTTGGAAAATATTCTTTTTTGCTTTCTTGCTGAGAGTTAGACGAAAAGGTTGATACTACTCTCATGCCTGCGCTCCAGCTTTGTGCTAATACTGTATTTTCCAAAATGTCAAACTGCCTCTTAAAAATACTGAATATCAGCGCCAAATAACTCGGCTATCAGAGGCTTCATTACAAAAATACTGACACCAAATTTTTGAAAAACAAACTTTATCTCATTCTACAGTAATTTTCTTTCTCTTTCTCTTCTTCTAGCAATGAACGAGAAGGCATTCCTGCCAACTTGCTCCAAATGTTGGATGTTTGTGTGGAGATCCCTCAGCAAGGGGTCATCCGCTCCCTCAACGTGCATGTGAGCGCTGCCCTGCTGATTTGGGAGTATACACGGCAACATCTCACCTCTGGTTCAGCTGAAGTCAACTCAAAACACAGCTGAAGAAGGAAACCAGCAGTGCGGCCCTACGGATGTGACATCTGTCCTCCAGATGCTGACAGTGTTTGCTCATCTCTCCTAGCAAACGTGAAAAGCGTCTTAGGGGTGTGTGTTTGAAAGAAAATGTCAACTTCAGCTACTGGACATGAAGACGCTGCATACAGTTAATGTCAGGACCTAAAGGATTTTCATGGTTTCTCTGGATAGGGAGCTGTCCTTTTGGGTTTTAATGTGGTCAGCACTTCATCAGTACTGTCCTTGTGCCTTAATGAGAGTCATGAATAGAGATCAGTTCTGGTCATTACATCTAAATATTCCACTGGGCATGCTGTTTTATTAATGTAGGCTGTCTCTATGTCTCTGTAACAGCAGCATAAATGGAAATTTTCTTCTTGCTTATGTGAGCAGTTGGTTTTTGCCTCAGAGCACCAGGACTGAACTGTACTGTCAATACCCAGCAAACTATTTTACATGTCATATTAATGCTGCTTTTGTTAAGATGCACACATTTTTGTGTTCTCACTGTTTTTATTGCAGGTTGTGATTTTAATTTTCTTAAATGCCTTTGGTTTTGACACAGTTGAATAAATAAAACTTTGGTATTATCATCTGTTTTATGTCCACGTGTTTTTATTCATTATGGTGAGAAAGGGTTAAAATAAGGTACAGTAGGTGTTCATGCGTCCTCCTTCCTCCCCCCTTGTGAAGAGTGAAGGAGTCTGTTCACCTGGAGACCGGGTGGGGAGCAGATGGAGTAGCTACAGTCGATCACGCTCATTTCTTTTTCCGTCAAGTCACGCTTGTACGTGGCTCAACATGTGAGGATAGCAGTTTTGAGAGGGACATGGAAGACCTGGATGGCTCCTGGTTGGACCCCCCGTCGCTTCTACAAGGAGCAGCGGCGGACAACGCCAGCTGGACGGGGCGAGCGGGGCTCATGGTGTCCCGGCGTACACAGCTGGTCCTGGAAATCCTCATGGTGCTTATGTGTTTGGGCGCAGTGACAGGTATAATAACTTCTGCTGACCTTTTATTTCTTTTCTGAAGCATCCGCAAAACTTTTCCAAATTCTTTCTCTTTTATGGTCAATCCAATGTCTCCCTTTTGTTCCTCTCCTTGTCCCAGCACCCCAATATTATCACAAATGAGATAACACCATAACGAGTTCAGTCTTAATGGTCACACAAATGAGAAAGTCTTCGTAATTATTCGTATTTCAGATCAATTTTCCTGTAATTCGGCATGAAATATTTATATCATAGGAGGGCTTTAGGCTTGTCAGCCAATAATAATTTAATAATGCTTTATAAATCAGTAGCTAATAATCCCCTAATAAGAACAATTTCAGGTAGCCAGGTTGTGAAAATCCCAGCCCAAAGAGTATAATCATAAGTAATGAGGACCATGATTCCTGGAGCACAGCTGATGAATTTTTAAAATGTAATTTTTCAGTGCTTTGAGTGGGACCAGAAAAAATCCGTTCATCTCTTCATCATCCTATGGTGGTTGCAGAAATACCAGATTTTAATTCCTTAACAAATATATCAATATTTACGTGCATTGTATCTTGGATAGGCCTATAGGCTACAGACCCTTTACATGTAGTGAGATCTATTTAACAAAACATGACTTCTCAATTAGGCTAATTAACAATCATGCAAGGGCGTACGTTTCGTCTCAATATTGGTAGGGACGCAACAACCCCTCCAACCCTCCAAAACGAAGAGATTGTCTTTTTAATGCCGTCAACCAAACGGTTTATTAACATATAATATCTGAATTTACATTCAGGAATGCCCATACGGAAATGTAATATATGTAAATTTGTTGAATTTTCATATATGAAATATGTGTACATATGAAGTATAATCATGCGTAACCTATATAAAGTATAGCCTATATAAGTAAAAAGTACACAGGAAACCTGTTAGAAATTGGAACAATATCATATCTTGACATATATGTCTAACTAACAGAAACATGTATTTTAGTATGTCTGTTTATATTATAGACATATGTTACATAAAAATGCATATATTCCAAAGCCTGTCAGTATTTCTTATTGTGTTCCTGTTCCTATTATATATGTAAATATAAAAGATAGACATGTATATTTAAATCATATAGAAACATGGAGAATTTTAATAAGCATGTTGTTTTAATGAAGTTGCATTTTACCATGAATATTTCATATATGTTAAGAACTTATATCTTCATATATCTGGAGAAGGTATATATGTCATCATGATATATCCCCTTATAGGTGACACAAATGGTAACATCACTCTTGATAAAGAGACATATATGTCATATATATATATATATATCGCAAGTCATAGTATAGTAAATCAGGAAAATGTCACAGTACAGAAAGGCATAAAATGGTCATAGTATAAAATGGCAGAAAAATAGTAGAAGAACAGTAAGGCATTAAAAGTCAAAGTATAGTAAGGTGTAAAAATGTCATACTATAGTAAGGCATAAAAAATTCTAAATCCAAACAGAGAGATTCCACACCAGGATTCAAACCCAATACCTTCTCACTGTGGGGCAACGGGTTTAACTCCTCCTCCACAGTGACAACCCATTATTTCAAGTGGATGTAGGCAAATTCTAAATCCACAAAGAGAGGTCAAGCACCAGGATTTGGACCAACAATGGTCTCAATGTGGGACAACTGGTCTAACCCATTTGGCATGGTGGTAACCAATTTATTAAAGTGGATTAATGCAAAAAAACCATCATAGTATACTGTCAAAACCATCATAGTATACTGTGACATTTTTTGACATTTTTATGCCTCACTATACTATGACGTTTTTATTGACATTTTAATGCCTTACTATACTATGACGTTTTTATGACATTTTTATGCCTTACTATACTATGACATTTTTATTGACATTTTAATGCCTTACTATACTATGACGTTTTTATGACATTTTTATGCCTTACTATACTATGACGTTTTTTGACATTTTTATGCCTTACTATGCTATGACATTTTTATGCCTCACTATACTATGACATTTTTTGACATTTTTATGCCTGACTATACTATGACATTTGTATGACATTTTCATGCCTTTTTATACTATAATGTTTTAAGGCATAAAAATGTCATAAAAATGTCATAGTATAGTAAGGCATAAAAATGTCATACAAATGTCATAATATAGTGAGGCATAAAACGTCATAGTATAGTAAGGCATAAAAATGTCATACAAATGTCATAATATAGTGAGGCATAAAACGTCATAGTATAGTAAGGCATAAAAATGTCATAAAAACGTCATGGTATAGTAAGGCATAAAAATGTCATAAAAACATCATTGTATAGTAAGGTATAAAAATGTCATAAAAATGTCATAGTATAGTAAGGCATAAAAATGTCATAAAAACATCATAGTATGGTGAGGCATAAAACGTCAGAAAATGTCATAGTATAGTAAGGCATAAAAATGTCATAAAAACGTCATGGTATAGTAAGGCATAAAAATGTCATAAAAACATCATTGTATAGTAAGGTATAAAAATGTCATAAAAATGTCATAGTATAGTAAGGCATAAAAATGTCAGAAAATGTCATAGTATAGTAAGGCATAAAAATGTCATGAAACGTCATAGTATAGTGAGGCATAAAACGTCACAGTATAGTAAGGCATAAAACGTCATAGTATAGTAAGGCATAAAAATGTCATAAAACGTATAGTATAGTGAGGCATAAAAAATGTCTGAAACGTCATAGTTATAGTGAAGGCATAAAACGTCACAGTATGTAAGGCATAAAACCGTCATAGTATAGTAAGGCATAAAAAATGTCATAAAAACATCATAGTATAGTTGAGGCATAAAACGTCAAGAAAATGTCATAGTATAGTAAGGCATTAAAATGTCAGAAAACGTCATAGTATAGTAAGGCATAAAAATGTCATAAAACGTCATAGTATAGTAAGGCATAAAATGTCATAAAAACATCATAGTATAGTAAGGCATAAAAATGTCATAAAAACATCATAGTATAGTAAGGCATAAAAATGTCATA